TACGAGCTCACCTCACCATGCAGTAAAAGTACTACGCGTTTTGGCCTGTGAGCCATGGCACAAGGGAGCTCCGAGCTCACCTCACCATGCAGTAAAAGTACTAAGTAGGCGTACGCGTTTCGGCCTGTGAGCCATGGCACAAGGGAGCTCCCACCTCACCTCACCATGCAGTAAAAGTACTAAGTAGGCGTACGCGTTTCGGCCTGTGAGCCATGGTACAAGGGAGCTCCCAGCTCACCTCACCATGCAGTAAAAGTACTAAGTAGGCGTACGCGTTTCGGCCTGTGAGCCATGGCACAAGGGAGCTACGAGCTCACCTCACCATGCAGTAAAAGTACTACGCGTTTTGGCCTGTGAGCCATGGCACAAGGGAGCTCCGAGCTCACCTCACCATGCAGTCAAAGTACTAAGTAGGCGTACGCGTTTCGGCCTGTGAGCCATGGCACAAGGGAGCTACGAGCTCACCTCACCATGCAGTAAAAGTACTACGCGTTTTGGCCTGTGAGCCATGGCACAAGGGAGCTCCGAGCTCACCTCACCATGCAGTAAAAGTACTAAGTAGGCGTACGCGTTTCGGCCTGTGAGCCATGGCACAAGGGAGCTCCCACCTCACCTCACCATGCAGTCAAAGTACTAAGTAGGCGTACGCGTTTCGGCCTGTGAGCCATGGCACAAGGGAGCTCCCACCTCACCTCACCATGCAGTAAAAGTACTAAGTAGGCGTACGCGTTTCGGCCTGTGAGCCATGGCACAAGGGAGCTCCGAGCTCACCTCACCATGCAGTAAAAGTACTAAGTAGGCGTACGCGTTTCGGCCTGTGAGCCATGGCACAAGGGAGCTCCCACCTCACCTCACCATGCAGTAAAAGTACTAAGTAGGCGTACGCGTTTCGGCCTGTGAGCCATGGCACAAGGGAGCTCCCAGCTCACCTCACCATGCAGTAAAAGTACTAAGTAGGCGTACGCGTTTCGGCCTGTGAGCCATGGCACAAGGGAGCTACGAGCTCACCTCACCATGCAGTAAAAGTACTAAGTAGGCGTACGCGTTTCGGCCTGTGAGCCATGGCACAAGGGAGCTCCCACCTCACCTCACCATGCAGTAAAAGTACTAAGTAGGCGTACGCGTTTCGGCCTGTGAGCCATGGCACAAGGGAGCTCCGAGCTCACCTCACCATGCAGCAACGAGACAGAGAAACCCACCATTCTGGCGTTGTTGAAGCCGAAAGCGACAGAGGGGCTTTTGAGTCGACTCCAAAGCAAACGAGAAACCCACCATTCTGGCGTTGTTGAAGCCGAAAGCAACAGAGGGAAGCTCGCCCGCGTAGGTGTATGCGGTGAAGGCAACACCGCTGTCAGCATGCACGTGCACCAGGAAGCTGTGACGAAATGACGCGGGTTCCGGAGGAGAGGTGGAAGAAGGCAAGATGTGGGAGAGGAGAGGTGGAAGAGGAGAGGTGGAAGAAGGCAGGATGTGCTGTTATTAGTAAACAGGTGGGCTGCGGAGGTCTGACGTGGCAGAACAAGAGGTGGAAGAGGAGAGGTGGAAGAAGGCAGGATGTGCTGTTATTAGTAAACAGGTGGGCTGCGGAGGTCTGACGTGGCAGAACAAGAGGTGGAAGAGGAGAGGTGGAAGAAGGCAGGATGTGCTGTTATTAGTAAACAGGTGGGCTGCGGAGGTCTGACGTGGCAGAACAAGAGGTGGAAGAGGAGAGGTGGAAGAAGGCAGGATGTGGGAAGTAGTGAGGAAGGGCTATTTTCAGGCATGGTACAACAGGATATGTCGCAACATAACATGGCATGGCATAGTGTGGGTATGGATTGGCGTAGTATGGGTATGGTATGACATGGCATGACATGGCATGGCATAGCATGGGTATGGAATGGCATGGCATGGCATGGCATGGCATGGTATGGTATGGTGTGGCACGGCACAGTATGGGTATGGCACGGCACGTCGTAGCATGGCATAGTATGCGTGGTATGGCATTGTATGCAGTGGCGTGGCATGGCACGGCATGCCACTCACGTGTTATCCACAATCGAGTAATCCGCATCCTCGTTGTGTCCCACTGCTGCCACGTCATCCGTGAGCAGTAACACGTCAGAGCAGTCGTCAGACGACATGCCATACTGCAGCGCCCTGTCCAACGTGGCAGCACCAGAACCACCAGATCCAGTCATAGCCGGCGAGGTCAGCTCAGGCAGCAGTGCTGACGTGGCAGGAGCGTTGAGTGACGGCAGAAAGGGGCCGAACTCCTTGCGAAGGTTCAGAAGCAGCAGCTGTCGTGGAAGAGATGGGTGTTAAGGTACAACAGGGTAGACAGTAGACAGTAGATTGAGGACAGTAGACAGTAGATTGAAGACAGTAGACAGTAGATTGAGGACAGTAGACATGAAGTGGGGGGCGGTGATTTTTGCGAAAGCATCCAGACTACCTAATACTCCAGCCGTCGGATCTATCCTCATCCGACGGGCTGCAGCTCACTCAGATGCCGTTTGAAGCTTCTCAAAGCCAGGCCAGTTCAGCAAACGGTTGGACAGGCAGCACAAGACCGGACAGTGACCACAATCAAACCTTTTTCAACGACGCCCGCCGCGGCGTAGGGGATCCACTAAGCTCGCCAAACAAGGCGGCTCAAGTCACTTCCGGTGAAGGGGATCGGCTCACCTCGTCAAACGGAACACAGCTGCCTGCCGCCATGCCTCGGAGTTCCTCCCAGTACTCCGGGTATAGCGACCTGCGGTGGCCATGGAAAGGCAAAGGGGGTGAAAGGGGGACAGGACAGACGGCGGCGGAAAAGTCTGAGCTGTGGTGGGTGCTGTACCGAGTTGAACTACAACTTCAATTGAAGATGGGGCTGTGATAGCTCGCCGTTAGGTGATAACTAGCGGTTGCTGGATACGTTGTTTGAGCCCAGAAAGGTAGTGCGTTTCTATCACTTCTTGTAATCTGCTCAGAAGAGTGGTTTACTTGTTCAGTCGTTAATACCCATGGAGTTAAAAAGCGGCGTTCTGAGTCATAATGAGGGCTCACTTGTTGGACTCGGAAAACATTTCCAGCAGCCAAGCTCCTTCACCCGTCCGTGCGAACGGAATCATGTCGTCGTGCAGAAACGGCGCCTTGGCGACGCGATCGCGGATCTTGTCGCCGAATCGCACACCAATCGCACAGCCGCGCTCGAACGGGCTGCCAGACACTTCGAGCCATTCGAGCGGCTTAGGGACTGCTGACGCGCTGACTGCGCACACGTTCGCTGACGACGTGGATCTGGCTGACGTGGCGCGTACGGCGGATTTGGAGGAGGGTGAGTGAAGGGTGGCGGATGCGACTGGGGGTCGCACGCCGACTTGCGAGAGAGTCATGATACTAGGGCCTGCGACGACAATAGCTGGAGCCATGGCGAAAAGCAACAGTCAAACTCGAAGCTCTATCGATAGAATACGCAGTGCTCTTGGCAAGGAATCTGGACTCAGAGGTTTCGACAGATTCAAAATCACGATGTACTGATAAGTAGGCTGTGCTACAAGAAGCCTTCACAAACGAGAAGGCTTTACTACGAATACGTCCAGTGATTTTCTCGCAACTAAGTACGTTCAGCCGTTCCGCAACGGCTGTTGCTGTGCGATCATAGCGCAAGAGGAAGCGCTACTACCTGCTACACGCGAAGCGCGGAACCCACTCACTGTGCGCGCTGGAAGCTGACGGATGCTGTCAGAGAGGGCCACGAGGGATGTGAGGTGGCGTCGCGCTTTGGCTTTGGCTTAATTCGCTTGTCACGCTGGCTCGGAACCTTGAAGATTCTGGTTAGCTAGTCCACTTGTTCGCCTGAAGTCTTGGGAGAGAGTCTAGTCCTACAAGAAGAATATCATCCAATCCTCGATGCCCTTATCACTTTCCCGCCAAATATAAGCGTGGTATTCGAGAAACTAATCTGAGTAAGCGTTGGAGAAATCGAAGCTACGAGTTGCGACTCTAGAAACAAATTTCAGGATGGTGAATCGAAGGTCTGCTTCCATGAGTGGGGGTGTCATGGATCTAAATGAATTTTGCCGCGACTCGACTGGGCGCAGGGATTGTTAGTTTGAGCTGATCGCAGAGGTAACTATGATTGGCTGTAATATGAAATTCGGAGATTTGTGGCCAATCTACGAGGAGAACGGTTTCCACACGAGTGACAGAACTGAGACACGGAGGTGGAGGGGACCATCTCACATTCCCAATGCATCACGGCTTTCATGAGAAGTTGTTCAGCTGAGCGGGAAAGAGTCAGTGCGAGATGAGTGCCAGCGTGTCGCATCGCGGGAGCAACCACTGCGATGCGGCTCGTTCCGACAACCTTACGTCCTGGGGATGAGGTGTAGTGTAGAGTAGAGGTTGTTGCCAGAAGCCGAAGAGATGTAGAAATGCCATGTCAGCCTGATGCCACATCATCACCATCCACCCAATGCTCAGTTGACTGGCACGTAAGCTATTTCTGTTCAGCAAACCACTTCTCCAGGCTTCTCTGAAACATACACTCCAGCAAGGCCAAACCGACCTGCAGATCACCGCAAGCAGCGTCAAATCGAACAGAAACCAGTCAAATTCGACGTGAAATGTTTCACATCCGCGTCAGAGAAGTCTGCCATGATTTCGGTGTAACAAACCCTTCGGCGACAGGATATAGACATCCTAGCGGAGAGATTCATAGCGCATCGTCGACATGCTGCGGAGATTGATGGCATGGAGTTGACGAGGAATTGCGACACATGACGTTGATCACTCTTTCCCGATGCAGAATGCTTCGCTTTGGTCGCAATGTGCTATAGAGTTATCCGCATCTGTATCAAACTGCTAGTCATGAGAGAGACTGTAAGCTCATTCATGTCAAAAATCAGTTCCAAGCTCGATTGGTGCACATAATGGCAACACTAGGCACAAAGCTCCCATTCCATCTATCAACTCTAGGTCCTCTATCATCAGCATCATCATGCTATTTTCAATTACAATATTCTCTTGTTTCACTTCCATGCATCACCCTCCGTTCGCACTTCAGAGGCCTCCACAACTTCAGGTTGTACCGAGGCGCTTGTTGACGAGGATGGGGAAGCAGGGGCAGCAGCAGCAGCTTGAGGAATGGCGAGCGCCATCATTTCATACACGCGCGAGCCAAACTCAGCAGGGTTCTCCGGCTGGTTGAAGGGCAACAGTGAAGAGAGATGGGGAAGGGGAGAGGGGGTGAGGGTGAGTGATGGAGCAGCAGGCGGGCAGAAGCAGGGGCAGACGCAGCAGCAGCTTGAGGAACAGCAAGGGCCATCATCTCATACACGCGCGAGCCAGACTCAGCAAGGCTCTCCGGCTGGATGAATAATGACGATGGATTTACATGAGGGGTAGGAACACGTGTTATTTGAATGGGCCTTCCTGCAAGTCCACTCACCGGGAATCCAGAGGCGATGTGGGCCGTCTCATACAGCAGATCCGCCAGCTGCTCAAGGGACCACTCACACATCCCACACTGCCCCCACCCACACATCTCAAGAGCCATCCCACAAAACAAACCCACTCACCGGGAATCCCGAGGCAATGTGCGCTGTCTCATACAGCAGATCCACCAGCTGCCTTGCCTTGGCACTATCCGGTGCCACACTGCTCTGCACCTGCAGGGGGGGCGGACGGAGGGTTGAAGGGGCGGACGGAGGGTTGAAGAGGGCGGAGGGAGGGTGAGGAAGAAGATGAAACAGCATGCACCAACTCAAACAGCTGCCTCGGCTTGGCACTATCTGGTGCTACACTGCTCTGCATCTGCAGAAGGGGAAGCAGAGTAACGTGAGGGAAGCAAGGCAGCGAGTGCATGCGATGTGAGTGAGGATGTTCCAAGCTTTACCTAACGATTTTCAGAGTTTCAAGGTTTTCACAGCTCCCAAATTTCCTGATTAGATCATAAAAGCAAGCATAAGTGTGCAACAAGCCACCCCACTGCAAAGTTTTTTCACATAGAATGCATGAACGGTCCAGATGGGGGTCTCACCTTGAGGTCCTTGATGATCGGATGGTCAGCGTTGATCTCCAAAATCCTCCTGCCCCTCATAAACTCGGCCTGCTGGGGGTCGCCCATGGTCTGCGCCTTCATGATGCTGCATGCGGAAGGAGAGGAAGGAGGGGGAGAGGGAGTGGGGTGGTTTTGGGGGGGGGAACGGGGGAAGGCAAGAGCACATACATCCAGGATCCGCCTGCTGGGGGTCGCCCATGGTCTGCGCCTTCATGATGCTGCCAGGGTTGAGGAGAGAACAGGGAAAGGATATAGGAGCGAGGAAACAAACTTTCATTCGCTCATTCCTGGCGTGCTTGAGTACCATTCGCGCATCCGCGAAGAGAACCACACACCTTGTCCCGAATTGAGGTCGTTTTTGAGGCGCCTCAAAAACGACCTCAACGCATCCATGAAGAGAACCACACACCTTGTCCCGAATTGAGGTCGTTTTTGAGGCGCCTCAAAAACGACCTCAACGCATCCATGAAGAGAACCACACACCTTGTCCCGAATTGAGGTCGTTTTTGAGGCGCCTTGCTCCTAAAACGACCTCAGCGCATCCGCGAAGAGAACCACACACCTTGTCCCGAATTCATCTGTGGCTGACATAGATGCCTGAATGAACTATAGCCACCTTGTCCCCCAGCACGCCCTTCATCCAATCTCACACACGCCCACAAACTCCTTCTCCTCCTCCCTCTTGTGAGACCTCAAAGGTAACAATTGACTCTGTTTGACTCTGCCAGATTCCGTGAGACTCACCGTTCCATGTTGGCAGACCAGCCGAATTTCCCAGCGACCAGCACGCAGGGCGAGGAGGCGATCCGCTTGGACACCTGCACTTTTGTTCCCCGGCACGCCCTTCATCCACTCACACACGCCCTGGAACCGCTTCTCCTGCCATGGACCCCCCTCATTGACTTTGTTTGACTCACCGCTCCATGTTGGCCGACCAGCCGAACTTGCCAGCCACCAGCACACAGGGGGAAGAGGCAATCCGCTGGGACACCTGCACTTTGGCCACCTTGTCTCCAAGAACCCCCTTCATCCAATCACACACGCCCGCAAACTCCTTCTCCTGCTCCCTCTTGCTCGCCTCGTCGCCCTCATCCCCCAAATCCAGATCCTCCTTGGAAATATCCACAAACTTGAGGTCCTTGTAACTCTGTAACGTGGTAACAGCAACCTCGTCGATCGGCTCGACCAGGAAGAGAACTTCCAACCCCTTCTGGTTCAATTTCTCCAAAAACGGCGCCGATTTCGCGCTGCGAACGGTATCCGCAGCAATGTAGTAAATTTCCTTCTGCCCGTCCTTCATCCTGCCCGTGTAATCCTCCAGCGAAATCAACTCATCCTCAGATTTCGACGAGAAGAAGCGCAGGAGGGGCGCAAGGCGCTTGTGGTTACCAGCGTCCTCGATGCACCCGAGCTTCACGTTGCGCCCGAAGCTCTGCCAGAAGGTGGTGTAGTCGCTGCTGGGCTTGCCGTCCGCGTCCTTCCGGGCGGCGACATCATCCAGCATGTCAAAGACCTTGCGCACGAGGCGCTTGCGCATGATGCGCACAATGCGGGACTCCTGGAGGATCTCGCGAGAGACGTTGAGAGGGAGGTCGTTGGAGTCGACGACTCCCTTGATGAACGCCATGTAGCGGGGGAGCTGGGAAAGGGGAGAAGGGGAGGGGGTCGAGAAGGAGCAAAGGGACAGGGAAATGGGAGGGGAGGCGACGCCTTAAACTGCAGTAGTGCCAGCATGTGGGGCGGCATGTGCTGGGGTGACGTCGTCCAGCATGTCAAAGACCTTGCGCGCGAGGCGCTTGCGCATGATGCGAGACTCTTGGAGGATCTCGCGAGAGACGTTCAGGGGCAGGTCGTTGGAGTCGACGACTCCCTTGATGAACGCCATGTAGCGGGGCAGCTGGGGGGGAAGAGGAGGAATGGGAGCAAAAAGGGGAAACGGGGAAAAAAAAAGAAAGGGGGAGAGTGCAAGGAGACGTCGAGTGGGAGGTCATAGGAGTCGACCACTCCCTTGATGAAAAGTCGCGCGGCAGCTGAAGGGTTTGGGGGGAGGGGAACAGGGGAGGGGAGAGAGCCGAAAGAGGAGGGAATGGGAGGGGGGGAAGGGGAAGATAGGAGGTGCTTCGAATAGGCAGAGCAGGCATGTAGGTGGGGGGGAATGTAGTGGGGGAGGGCACGACGTCATCCAGCATGTCCAAGACCTTGCGCGCACGATGCGCTTACGCATGATGCGGGCAACTTTTGAGACGTCTCAAAAGTCATGATGCGGGCAACTTTTGAGACGTCTCAAAAGTCATGATGCGGACAACTTTTGAAACGTCTCAAAAGTCATGATGCGGACAACTTTTGAAACGTCTCAAAAGTCATGATGCGGACAACTTTTGAGACGTCTCAAAGGTCATGATGCGGACAACTTTTTTGAGACGTCTCAAAAGTCATGATGCGGACAACTTTTGAGACGTCTCAAAAGTCATGATGCGGACAACTTTTGAGACGTCTCAAAAGTCATGATGCGGACAACTTTTGAGACGTCTCAAAAGTCATGATGCGGACCAATACGGGACTCTTGCAGGACTTCACTGGCCACGTTCAGTGGGAGGTCGTTGGAATCGAATCGACCACCCCCTTCTCCCCCTGAAGGAATCCATGACGCTTTCCTTGGGAACATGTTGTTGGCGTCAAGGAAAGCGTCATGAAACCCCTTTTCTCCCCTCAACTCCTGAGCCCCTAAAAACCTACACCCAGAGCCCTTGGGTCCCCCTCTGCACTCACCAGCTCGCCATCAAACTGGTCGGAGATGAAAACGCGCTTCACGTAGAGGCGGATGTTGCGTGTCTTGCCGGAGAACATGTCGTTGGCATCAAAGGGCGCCATGCCGGGAATGTAGAGCAGCGACTTGAACTCGATCTCGCCCTCCGTTGAGAAGTGCGTATGCGCCAGCGGGTCGAGGAACTCTTTAAATGTGTTCTTGAAGAACTCATTATATTCCGCCTGCCCCACCTCCTTGGGGGCGCGGACCTGCAGCGGGGGAGGGAGTGAAGGAAACGGGGTAAAGAGAGTGTCAGTCAGTGTGATGATGCAGCCAAGTGCTTTTGAGTCGACTCAAAGGGAGGGAGTGAAGGAAACGGGGTAACGGGGAGAGTGTCAGTCAGTGTGATGATGCAGCCAAGTGCTTTTGAGTCGACTCAAAGGGAGGGAGTGAAGGAAACGGGGTAACGGGGAGAGTGTCAGTCAGTGTGATGATGCAGCCAAGTGCGCCTGGGCCAGCAGGTCGAGGAACTCTTAAAACGTGTTCTTGAAGAACTTGTTGTACTCCGCCTGCTTGACTTCCTTGGGTGCGCGGACCTAATGCATGGAGGGGAGGGAGGGGGCGAGGAAAGGAGAGAGAGTGTCAGTGCGATGTTGCAAGAAGGTGCGTGTGTACGAGCGGGTCGAGGAACTCCTTGGAAGGTTTTTTTGAAGTACTCGTTGTACTCTGCTTGATCCACCTACTTTGGGGCGCGGACCTGCAAACGGAGAGGGAGAGGGAGTGAAGGAAAAGGGGTGAAGAAGGGGAGAGAGTGACAGTGTGATGTTGCAGAGAAGTGTGTGTGTGTGTGTGTGTGTGTGTGTGTGTGTGTGTGTGTGTGTGTGTGTGTGTGTGTGTGTGTGTGTGTGCAAGCCGGTCGAGAAACTCGTTGAAGGTGTTCTTGAAGTACTCGTTGTACTCTGCTTGATCCACCTACTTGACGCGCGCTGACTCATCCAGATGGGCTTGGTGTTGTTCTCCAGCACCCAGTCAAAGTACTTCTCCTCCACCGTGACTTCTTCACCGTGTGGTGACTTAAGTTTGTTATGCATTGGCCACCGTTGACTTGTTCATTGACCAGTGTTGACTTGCGTTGACCAGCGATTGACTCACCCAGATGGGCTTGGTGTCATTCTCCAGCACCCAGTCGAAGTACTTCTCCTCCACCGTGCGAGTCTTCTTCATTTGACCAGCTTTGACACTAGCATTGACTAGTGTTGACCAGAGTTGACCTGCGTTGACCCACTCACCCAGATGGGCTTGGTATCGTTCTCCAGCACCCAGTCAAAGTACTTCTCCTCCACTGTGCGAGTCTTCTTCACTGGCGGCTCTCCCTCCTCCTTGGCCGCCTCCTCATACTCCTCCTGCCATTGCAAGTAGGGACGGGGTGGGGATGAGGAGAGTGATGAGGAGGGATATGAGGAGGGGGATGAGGAGGAGCGGGGTGAGGGGGTGAGGGGGAGGGGGATGAGGAGGAGGGGGTGAGGGGGAGGGGGATGAGGAGGAGGGGGATGAGGAGGAGGGGGGTGAGGAGGAGGGGGGTGAGGAGGAGGGGGATGAGGAGGGGGGTGAGGGGGAGGGGGATGAGGAGGAGGGGGATGAGGAGGGGGGTGAGGGGGAGGGGGATGAGGAGGAGGGGGATGAGGAGGGGGGTGAGGGGGAGGGGGATGAGGAGGGGGATGAGGAGGGGGGTGAGGGGGAGGGGGATGAGGAGGGGGGTGAGGGGAGGGGGATGAGGAGGAGGGGGATGAGGAAGGGGGTGAGCGGAGGGGGATGAGGAGGAGGGGGGTGAGGGGGAGGGGGATGAGGAGGAGAGGGGTGAGAGGAGAGGGATGAGGAGACTCACTATCACACCAGCTCAACACAGTTTTTCCCTACAAACTTCAGTGTCCCTGCCCTACATTCAGGGCACATGCTCCTGCCACATGTCCTAATCTCTTCCTAATCTCAGACTGGCCGAAACGCGCGTACACTCAGGTTTGAATGACAATTTCTTACCTATTCATTCCCTACTAGCCTAAGCTCAGCCTGTAGGAGATTAGGAAGAGAATAGGACGATTTACCTGTTGGATCCAGGTCGAAACTGTTTTTCTGTGCCACATGTAAGTGGGGATCCCGATGCATCGCGAGTGGCGAGATGCTCTGAAACAACCCACGCAGCTGTCTATCTAAACCCTCAACCCTCGCCTCACCTCCTTGGAGCGCGTCTGCTCCTGCCACATGTAGATGGGGAATCCGATGAACTGCGAGTAGTTCTTCACCAGGCTCGCCAGGCGTGATGGGTCTGAGTACTCCGCCTTCTGGTCGTCCTGCTCATAGGCGGAAGGGATGAAAAGGTGTGGAGAGAGGTAGGGGGGTTGAACAGGTGGACTTAGAGTTGACTCCAAAGGAGGCCCTGCAATGAACTGCGAGTAGTTCTTCAGCAGGCTCGCCAGGCGCGCGGGATCCGAGTACTCTGCCTTCTGGGTGTGTTTTGAGTCGACTCAAAACACACCAGGATCCGAGCACTCTGCCTTCTGGTCGTCCTGCACTCACACACGCCACAGGGTGGAAGAAGGGATGGAGAGGGATAGAGAGGGATAGAGAGGGATAGAGAGGGAGGGGAGGGTTTCTAGAGCCAACGCAAATGACTCGTCTCACACATACTCCAGGCGAGCACATGGGGAACTCCAGCTTCACACAGGAGTTGGTACATCTCTAAGTGGGGAGTTGTTTTGAAGCGCTTCAAAAGACCTGGTACATATTTAAATGAGTTGGATTTTCTTCACGCGCCTCAATATGGTCCATGGGAGTGGGAGCACTTCATTACGCCATGAGCTGGCAAATCATTAAACCCTGAACCCCGACACCTCAAATCTAACCCTCTACCTCTCAGTGTACGTGTTCCGATCCGCCTCCGCCTCCCACACCCAATCTGCTTGTTGCCCCTTGTCTTCCCAAACGCTAAACCCATAAAACCCTGAACCCCTAGTTTCTCACCTTAAGGTGCAGCTGGATGGACGTGCCACGGGCAAGCTGCTCCCCGTCCGAGTCCTCGCGCACCGTGTACGTGCTCTGGTCCGCCTCCGCCTCCCACACCCACTGCTTGCCGCCCTTGGCGCTCTTGGTGCGCACGGTGACGCGGTCTGCCACCAGGAACGCGGAGTAGAAGCCCACTCCGAACTGCCCGATCAGGTTGCTGTCCACCTCGCCCTCCTTCTCCTGCTTCTCCTGTTGTGTGGTGGGGCGGGGGCGGGAGTGGGGGGGGAAGGGGAGGGTGAGGGGGAACGGAGGGTGGTTCTGGGGTCTAGAGTGGCCTCACGAGGAACACGGAGTAGAAGCGCACTCCGACCTGCCCGATCAGGTTGCTGTCCACCTCGCCCTCCTTCTCCTGCTTCTCCTGTTGTGTGGTAAGGAGGGGGAAGGGCAGGGCCGGGGCCCGGGAGGTAGGGAGGGCAACTTATGATGATGCCGACTCTAGGGCAACTCAAGAGTCAACTCCAGGGCAGATTCACGTTGGAGGGTCGTTCAGCACTCAGAGAGCTAGAGAGCCAGAATCCCCACCCACCCGAAAGACTCATGTCAGCATGGTGTTCCTTGTAGCGTCGGAGAGTGAGCCGACGCCCTGAGAAATCCAGCCTCTCTCCCACGCTCTCAGCACTGAGCGGAAGCATCTCAAGTTACAAGCCCTCCCCGCGCTACAAGCCGCCCCGTGCTCACCTTGATGGCCTGCACGAACTTGGCGGTGCCACTCTGCGCGATGGTCCCCAGCGAGTCCATAAGCTCCTCCTTGGTCATACCGATGCCCGTATCGCTGTGTAGGCACAAAGGGGGGGGATGAAGAGTAAAGGCAGAGTGAAGGAAGCGATAAGGAAACGCGTGAGAAGGGGGAAAAGAGGGCGATGGTCCCCAGCGAGTCCATGAGCTTCTCCTTGCTCATACCAATGCCCGTATCGCTGTGGATGGGGAGGGAGGGACGAGGTGCGGGCAGAGAGAATGAATCGAGTGAGAGGGGAAGGCTTTTGAGGCGCCTCAAAAGACGAGGTGCGGGCAGAGAGAATGAATCGGGGTTACTTTTTTTCACTGTTTGACTATCGTCCCTTTGCTAAAGGCGACCTGGCCTACTGCTGCCCTTCTTCATGAGCACAGATCCGTGGGACGAGGTGCGGGCAGAGAGAATGAATCGAGTGAGAGGGGAAGAGCGGCGAACGAGGTGAGTGAGATGTAGAATCTTGGTTCTAACGAAGTATGTTAGCGGCTCCTTGGTCCAGCAGCAAACAAGCGTGGACTGCGTGAAGGAGATAGTACAATAGCACAGCAGTGACGAGCTAGCACAGCACAGCAGAGTACAGCACACAACACCACGCCACACTCCACCGCACCGCACTCACGTGATGGTGATGGAGCCCGCAGCGGGGACCGCCTTGATGCGGATCGCAAGCTCCGCTCCCGATTTTTGAGTTGGTTCAGAAGTCACTACACTCCATCGCACCACACCACATCGCACACCACCACACAACACCGCACCACACCACTGCAGACCGCACTCACGTGATGGTGATGGTGCCGGAGGCGGGGTCCGCCTTGATGCGGATGGCGAGCTCCGAGTCCGCCGCCATGAGCGCCGGGTCCGTCACCGACAGGAACCGCAGCTTGTCCAACGCATCGCTCGCATTGCTGGGTGGCGAGAGGGGCGGGGAGAGGAGGAAGGGCGAGAGGAGGAAGGGGGAGAGGAGAAAAAGGGGGAGGAGGGGAGGAGTGAGGAGAAGTAAGAGAGACGAGACAGGATCCACAGGAGGGAATGGTCGCACCGGAATTCTAGTACTGCGAGACAGTTGCAAGACTACTATGCTTTTACGGAGAGATTAGTATCGACGTAAGCCTCTTGCAATCGCCTACAGGCATGATCATGCCTAATTCGACGAGGCCCTGCATGAGATTCTAGGTGATACACTATGAAGAGTGAAGAGCAACGTAACCAGGTTACAATTACGAGATCAGCTCGTACCTGACCAGCTCGCGAGGGAACACCTCGCGGTGGCTGTAGAGAGAGAGTGCACGATGAGATCCTAAGGCTGCAGGGTATATCCTGAAGTATTCGAAAACAACCCGCCAGGCTATTCATACCTGACGAGCTCGCGAAGGAAGACCTCACGGTGGCTGTAAAGAGAGTGCACGATGAGATCCATGAGCCGATTCACCTGCGCGCATACGGACACGTGGATAGGAAGACGTGGACAGAAACACGTGAGTAGTTATATTCATGAATCATTCACGTGCGCGCACAACGGCACGTGTGGAAACGTAAGTTGCATCGTGAGATTCAACTCGCCTCAAGCTCCCATAAGTCTCGCCCTTCCACCCACCTCCGCCTGGTACGTGAAAGTCTCAGAAGCGGGGGCCTCTGTCGTCGTGGCGTTGCACCGGACGGGGCTCCACGTGGCAGGCTTCTGCGCGGCACGCTGCGATGCTGACGTGGCATGAGCGGCCGAGCGGGAGAGGCGGGCAAGAAGTGTGGGGTTGCCGGAGGAGACGGAGCGCCACGAGATGGACGGTGCTGATGCGGTTGACTGCGCGGGAAGGCGGGAAGGAGAAAGAGAAGAAAGGCGAGAGGTTCAGGTCATCTAAAGGGGGTTCACAGTTGACTCAACAGATACGAGAGGAAACCTCTATGGTCAGTAAAAGACGAGGGTGATTGGCACGGCATGGCCAGATTGCAACGGCAACGAATTATAAGACGTCACACAACTCGATCGCAACGGTAACGAGAGTGAATCACGCACCGCAGTCTTGGCCGAAGCATCCTTCGCCAGCAGCGCGCGCGGCGCGCTCGAGAGCGACGCGGCGTTCATCTGAATAGCGGCCATGGCTGGGAGATCTGAAAGCGCGGGGATAGCGCGGTGCGCGGAACGCAGGAGTCGGCGTGCGGCAATCGCACGAGAGAGCATCAAAACGAAACACCCTCCGGGGCTGGCTGCGAAGCAAAGCGAAGCTCGCACAGTTCTATGGCCGGTGCAGCAAAACTGTGATCAGCGAGCAAGTTATGTGTGAGAGCAGCAAGAAAGAGTGCAAGCAAGCAACCAAGCGAAAATAATTGATCTGGCGATATTTCATCTCCCAAGGCCGCTGGAGCCCCACCTGCTGCTGCGCGTTGTCGCGAGTTTCAAGCGGGGTTTGGCTGAGACGCAGGCGGAAAGCTGGCGGAAAGGATCAATCCCGAAGTGGGGGACAATATGCTCTGTGCTCGCGGGAAAGGTTTGGCGGAAAAGGTTAACAGGAGCGAAACTGGAATGCGCAGAGCGGGTCACCGCCGAATGCCGAATGCAGGAAGCGGGGGGAAGAATGTGGAATGTGCTTACGGCATTCTCAAGGCTTTCCAGGTGGACCGAGAAAAATGCACTCTGTACGCGTGGCATCGAGTTTTATGTGCCATATCATTTTCTAGAAAGGGTACTGATTCGGCGTGGTGAACATGTCACCGTGCCAGCTCAGCCTTGATTGAGGTGATTACTAGAAGGTTCGATTGCTAGTATAGAGCGTAAATGATGGTGGGATCGGATCGGTCACATATGGTATGCAATCTGAAAACATATGTACAAGGACCTTTGTATAGATAGGAACACAATTGCGTGGAGCAGGACAATGAATCTGGAGCAGGGAAACAAGGAATTTGGTGCTAGCAAGAGAGCGTCACTATTATTCTCAAAGCAACTACAGCAGCAGAGCAACGTGGGGTGCATGCTGCATAGACAAATCTCCACGATGATCACTCAAAATGGTTGGCGACCAGTAACCACTTTGAAATTCCTCGGATCACATGAGACAATCAAACAAAAATGGCACCGCACTTCAAAGTGGACTACTCTAAATTCCACCGACGCACAAACTTTAGGCCCTTGGCAGCTAAAAAAATCAAATTGTCCACTGGTTTAGGCTGAGTGCTTGGTCTCCATGTGCTTCTTCAGAAATGCCTCAGCATTGAACTTCCTGTTGGCCACACAACATGCAACAGCACACAACCCAAGGGGAGAAACAGGGAGGGCAACACAATCACCACACCACAAGCCAAGAGTGAGAAAACGCGGGGCCACACAACATGCAACACCACTCAACAAGCCAAGGGTGAGAAAATGTGGCATAAAGAAACACACAGCCATCAGCAGCCATTAACCAGCAGCAATATACAAAAGACAAACATCAAAGCACGGATGAAGGCATCGCTAAGTGACCGAGCAGGGATGTTGTTTGCATTGCCTTTTGCTGTTTTTTACCCTAATTTTCCTATTTGGGGCCTTTTAAAAAGAGCACGTTGGGCAATAGAATAGACGATGACATGACGACTTACTTGGGGCACAATGTGCAGTGGAAAATAGCCTTCTTCTTCCCTCCAGACGCAGGGGTTGCTGTGGCGCCAGGCTCTGGCGTGCCTGCTGCTGCTGCTGCTGGCGGTGTCACTGCTGCTGGTGTTGCTGCTGCAGGCTTGGCAGCAGGAGTGGCAGGCTTGGCAGCCTAATCAAGAACAATGATAGTGCAGGTATTGTAAAAAAGAGGTAAGTTGATTAGGAAGGGAGGGGGATCAGAGTGAAATGTTAGTCGTTTCACTGTAAGAAGGCATTTCAGGAGTGGAGAGGAAGGGGAGGTGAGGAGGCAGTGAGAGGTGAGGGCGGGTTGGGGGTAGCACAGAGGGGAATGGAGTGGGCAGTGGGAGAATACATGGTCCAACATAACACTGCTCACATCACCATGAACCCAGAATGCTCCTATCCCCATGCATGCATTGATGCTCCCATCCCCATGGATGCATTGATATTCCCATCCCCATGCATGCATTGATATTCCCATCCCCATGCACGCATTGATGCTCCCATCCCCATGCACGCATTGGTGTTCCCATCCCCATGCATGCATTGACGCTCCCATTCCCATGCATGCATTGATGTTCCCAATGTTACTTCTTAGCGTGTATACGATTTGGAGCCGGCTATTAGGGTGGGTACAGGATTAACTGCAATCCGAAACCCAAATAATAGACTCGACCCAGCACTGCCGTCAACCCTTGAGCCATAACCCAGCAGCAGCACGGGCCAGCAGTGAGGGGCAGCAGCAGGGGCCAGCAGTGAGGGGCAGCAGCAGGGGGCGGCAGTGAGGGGCAGCAGCAGGGGGCGGCAGTGAGGGGCAGCAGCAGGGGGCGGCAGTGAGGGGCAGCAGCAGGGGGCGGCAATGGGAGCATGAGGCCCTGACTGGAAATTAGAACGTACCTCCTTGGCAGGAGCGGGAGAGGGAGCGGCAGGGGAGGCAGCAGCTGCGTCACCACCAGCGGCAGCGGCAGCAGCTACGGCAGCTTCTCTGCGTTGCTTCTTCTTTTGCGCCTTGGATAGCGCAGGCGAGGGCGTGGCCGCGGGAGAATCCGCTTGGCGCTTGGCGCCCGCTGCAGGCTGTAGTGTGGGTGTTGGGGAGGGTGGGGATCGGGGAGAGGGTGGAAGGAAGGGGGGAAGCGAGACATTTGTTTGGGGTCTAGGGTTTTCTTCTTTTGCGCCTTGGATAGCGCAGGCGAGGGCGTGGCTGCGGGAGAATCCGCTTGGCGCCTGGCGCCCGCTGCAGGCTGTGGGAGGGCAGAGGAAGGGGGGTGGCGGGGGGCGATAACAGGGGGGGTGGGGGGGGGAGGGGTGGGGGGGAAAGAGGCGAAAGATTAGGTTCACTGGTTTGCTTCAAGGTGCGGAGGGTGTTGAGGGAACGGCACGGGAGCAACGGGGGGTGACGAAGAGAATAAAGAAAAGACCCAGATAAGAAACACGACATCTCAAAACCCAGACTCTCGAAATCGACCAGGCGGGATTAAAGCCTGGGGATAATAACAAGGGAAGGGGGGAGGAGAGGAGAGAGGCGGAAGAAATGGGGTAGGGGGGAGGGAAGGGAGCGGGGGGAAACCACAGGAAGAACAAGGCAGCGAGAAGAAAGGAAAGAAGAGGGAAAAAGAAGACCAGAGAGAAGAGAGCGCAACTAGGAGGGGGTTACACAGATGGCAGCAGGGAAAGAAGTAGACGTGTTGAGAAGCAGGGCCACGTACCTCGGGTGTAGCGGAAGGTTTAGCAACGGCAGCAGCAGCAGCGGCGGGCTTGGCTGGCTCCGCCGCGTCTTCCATCTGTTGAGTCAACGGGTGGGGTGAACAAGGTGGGTGTGCAAGGTGGGTGAGAGCAAGATGGGTGAGAAAGATCGGCAGGTTTAGCAGCGGCAGCAGCAGCGGGTTTGGCTGGGTCCGCCGCATCTGCCATCTGTTGGGTCAGCGAATGGGGTGAACAAGGTGAGTGAGCGCAAGATGGGTGCACGTGGGGTCAACAAGTGGGGTGAATGAGTCACGTGGGACCATGGGGAATGAGAAGCTTCGTGTAAAACAAAGTAAAACAGGGAATGAGAACTGCGACAGGAGGGCCACGAATCTCCCAATACAAATGTGATGTCGTGATGTAGCTGCTTTCTAAACGATGTGAACGATAACCCGTGTCAACTCCAGCGTCGCCCGCTGCGCACGAGTGAGTCTTGCCAGGAAAATCACCAAACTAAACCCCAGGTCTTTAGGGAAATCAAACACCCCAATGCCTGATACTCACCACAGAAAACAATACGCTAAACCCTGAATCTTGCCTAAGAAATCACCGCGTTAAACCCTGAACTAGGAAAATCAGCCTGCTAGAACCCGGAATTCAGTCAAGCAAACCAACATTCCAAATTCTTGCCATAAGCCACCCACTAAACCCCGAACCCTGCGAGGTCACGAACGCCAATTATACTTAAAGCCCTTAACAACCGGGCCCACTCCTCCGCGGATCTACCACTCGATTTTTAACTGCTTCACGGGTTTGTCCCTTTGACTAAGGCTCACGCGGGGTGGACGCTGCTTCGGCCCACAGCCGCCTAGCGGTCGCCGAACAGTCACCCAACGGTCGCAGCAGCCGCATAACGACAGCAATGCTATGCTCCTAAGGCTCACCTCTGCGTCCTTGCTCGGGCTTGCCCCCTTCTTCCCAGCCTTGGCTGCAACGGCGGCGGGGGCCTTCTTGCGCGGCGGTGTGTCTTCCGCCTCCTCCTCCTCCTCCTCCTCCTCGTCCTCCTCAATATCCTCCTCGTCGAACTCATCGTCCATGTCTGGTCACACGCAAACAGAGGGCAACGAAGAGAAAAACACAGGAAACTAGCGTTAAGGTGGGCTCAAGAGGACTTCTCCCTCTCCTGAATATCTTCCTCGTGGTTCTCGTCCATGTCAGGTCACACGCAGCGATAAATTAGTGGACGGAGTGAGAAACTCGGAGAAGTTAACAACAGATCAGCAAATCAGGCAGCAAATCAGAGCGGGGCTCATCTGGTCCACCTTGCGCTTCATCTGCGAAACCGGGTTACCAGCACTCACCATAATCGTCATCGCCGCCGCTGTCGCGCGTCTTGTAACCGGAGAAGAAGATGCTGTGCGAGCCGGAGTGGAAGAGGCTGAACGGCCGGTCGAGCACGAGATCGAGGCTCATCTGGTCCACTTTGCCCTTCACGAGCGTCCCCAGCACCACCGTCACCGGCGCCGGAGGAGCCTCGTCCTCGTCGTCTTCGTCCTCCTCGTCGATCTCCTCTCTCAGCTGCACCACCACTCTCTCGTTGTCCTTCGCTTGCACTCCCAGCGCCGCCTGTCGGTCAGAGGAGCCGGTTTCAGAAAGTCGCGATGGTTTTTGGGAAACTTGGATCCGTGCGTATCGATCTAGGCGCTCTGAAGATGCTACATAGCTTGATTGCGTTTTTCATAACATGATCAGTCCTGCTTAGTTCGGCACAGAATCCGTCGACCACGACTGCTTCAGTAGTCAGACCTAACGAGCACCTGACTTGCGCATATGAGTAGCTAGAAAGCACAAAAGAGAAGTTTTGGAATTAATGAAAGGACGTTAACGTGCGTACCTGGGAAATGTGGAGGTAGTCAGCATCGTCGTTGGGATCCACTGTGAGGGTCTCCTTGGGCTTCACCTCCACGCCTGCACCAATCGCGCACCCACGTAATGACATTCGTTGGCATTGTTTTCCTTCTTTTAAGCGCGCGGAATTCACCACACGACTTCGATCCCGCAATGGTGCACAGCATACAGAAGAAACGTCTTGTTGGCAAAGACAGGATCACAAAATCACGAAAACGAGGGAGATGAGGGACGCGTATTCCAATACATATTTCATGGGGAATTGAAGGATGCGACTACCAGAGAGATGATCCAATGATTAGCTTTATCACCAAACACGGCGATACGAAAGACGGTGACGAGGTAACTAGAAATGGTCTCACCCCAAAAGCTTAGCTTGCCGTCCATCTTTTTTTTGCGATTAATAAGACCAAACCGAATTTGGGGCTGCGATGCGAAAGTCTAGGAACTAGGCTGAGTAGCTTGCTGAGGAGGCTGCTTCTGAAAAGCGAGGTCTGAACATTTGGTTCTCAACGAATTTATACAAGAGGGAGACAAAGCAGCCTTGCCAGCGAATTTCCAGTGGCTCCGCGGAGTTTTCCAAGAGCCTGGCGGGGTGGAGTGGAGTATGCGATTCTGGTTTTGCCATAACAGCGAAACTGGTAACCACTTTTTCGGAGGTGATTTGCCCGTCGCGACAGTTGTGAGTACCCGAACCCGTATTGTTCCTTGCAACTCAGCTCCACCCCCACATAATCGGAACACCTACAGAAAAGCGTCGGAAGACAATAACGGGTCTGAAACGCTGGCAGTCGAATAGAGTCCGCGAGCAGAACGCGGGCAAGAAAAAACAATAAACCCCACATGGAAAGCATGCCATTCGGGAGCCTAAACCCTGAAATTTTAGGGTTGAGGCTCCCGAATGGCATGCCGGTCGCGATGGGGTTTAGTTTTTTCCTGCCCGCGGTCAGCTTGCCAGGTCATTCCTCCAACACGAACCCTCCAACACGAGGAGTTGGAGGATTCGTTTCCTCCAGCATCCGTAGGAACCAGGCCCTACGATATCAGGAGTTTTTCCCTGAAATTCCTGATTTTAAGGGGTTTGTTCTTACCTACCCTGATTTTCCCGTGTTCAGCTTTTGTGGGACTCATTTTTGGGTTGCGTAGCAACCTTATACATTCGTTTTCACTTTTCGGTTGGCTGATGTGAACAGTGAATTTCTCTTATAAATTTTGAAAGAAATCACTGTTCACATAGCTTCCCCAAAAATGTGAAAACAAATGTTTCCAATCATTCCATAATCGTCGATAAGTACGGCGAATGGAACAATTGGAGAATTGTTCTAGCACTAAAGATGATATGGTACCGAATGACACACGAACACAAAGGACAACACAAAAAATACTACAGTACCACCAAGAAACACACATACACAAATGACCACAAAAACAATGGTGTACAAGAACCGTCGTACATGTTTTGAAGGGGATAGTAAATGCATCAATGCAACAACTGAGACTGATATGGTACGGAAGAGGCGAGCAAAGCTGCCCCACCGACGATCACAATCTCAGTTGCATACACGATACACTTAGCACCACACCCCCGAAACAAGCACAGACGATAACACATAAATGATTATGAAAACAGAAAACAACGTTTAAGAATGTTTCAAAGCGGATGCTAAATGCATCAGTGCTGCAACTGAGATTGATATGGTACGGAAGAGGCTAGCAAAGCTGCCCCACCGACGATCACAATCCGAGTTGCATTCACGAGGCACTTAGCACCACACCCTGAAGCACGCACAACACACGTATGCATATGTACGCACTCACACACATACACGCTCACACATATACAGACACACACAACGCAAAAACATACAGCTATTGTAATAAGCATGCAAGCATAATGAATCAATTTCAGCCTTGTATAAATTAATTATCTCTATCTTGTCCCCCGTTCCCCTCCCTCCCTCCCTCATTTCCCTCATCTCCCTTCTCCCCATCTTTTTTCTCCGCAAGAAACAAAGGCTACAGCTTGGACTCCTTGCACAGGAAAGGAAAATCAACGAATGCAACTCACTCCCTGCACAAACAAGAACAAAACCAGAGAATACAACTTGCATTAGTTGCACAAGAAAACAAAATCAGAGAATGCAGCTGAAAAAACAAAGTAAGCGCAACAGAAATTCACACGCAAACTCCCACGTTCTCTCACGCGCTCCCACGCTCTCAGGGGGGAGCGGTGACGGCGGGGAGGAGGGAGAGGCAACCGCGTGGAGGGAGAGGGGACGGCGGGGAGGAGGGAGAGGCGACGGCGGGGAGGAAGGAGCGGCGACGGCGGGGAGGAAGGAGCGGCGACGGCGGGGAGGAGGGAGAGGCGACGGCGGGGAGGAGGGAGAGGCGACGGCGGGGAGGAGGGAGAGGCGACGGCGGGGAGGAGGGAGAGGCGACGGCGGGGAGGAGGGAGAGGCGACGGCGGGGAGGAGGGAGAGGCGACGGCGGGGAGGAGGGAGAGGCGACGGCGGGGAGGAGGGAGAGGCGACGGCGGGGAGGGGGGAGAGGCGACGGCGGGGAGGAGGGAGAGGCGACGGCGGGGAGGGGGGAGAGGCGACGGCGGGGAGGAGGGAGAGGCGACGGCGGGGAGGAGGGAGAGGCGACGGCGGGGAGGAGGGAGAGGCGACGGCGGGGAGGAGGGAGAGGCGACGCCGAGGAGGAGGAAGAGGCGACGGCGGGGAGGGGGGAGAGGCGACGGCGGGGAGGAGGGAGAGGCGACGGCGGGGAGGAGGGAGAGGCGACGGCGGGGAGGAAGGAGAGGCGACGGCGGGGAGGATGGAGCGGCGACGGCGGGGAGGAGGGAGAGGCGACGGCGGGGAGGAGGGAGAGGCGACGGCGGGGAGGAGGGAGAGGCGACGGCGGGGAGGAGGGAGAGGCGACGGCGGGGAGGAGGGAGAGGCGACGGCGGGGAGGAGGGAGAGGCGACGGCGGGGAGGAGGGAGAGGCGACGACGGGGAGGAGGGAGAGGCGACGGCGGGGAGGAGGGAGAGGCGACGGCGGGGAGGAGGGAGAGGCGACGGCGGGGAGGAGGGAGAGGCGACGGCGGGGAGGAGGGAGAGGCGACGGCGGGGAGGAGGGAGAGGCGACATCGGGGAGGAGGGAGAGGCGACGGAGGGGAGGTAAGGAAGAGGAGATCGCGGGGTGGGGCTGAGTGACTGTGAGGTGAATAGGAGAGGTGAAGGTGGGTAGTGAGGGAGAGGATACGGCGGGATAGGAGCAAGAGCGACAGCTGGGTGGGAGAACTGGCGAGAAATTGGGGTGGGGGGAAGGAAGAGGAATAAGAGCAGAGCAGGTGTGCTTGTTGAGTCGAGAGGAACCAGAAAACAAGAACCAAGAAAAGAGCGCAGAAATTGAGTTGGTAGTTGTGAAAGGGACGGATGCCAGCGCAGAGATGAAATTTCTGCCAGCGCAGAACAAGACAATTTCTGCCACCGCATAACGATACAATTTCTGCCAGCGCAGAACGAAGCACCATATACAGTATACCGTTTTAAGTTAATAATTGGTCTAGTCGTAATTGTAACACACATACGGATATGCGTTATGAGAAAAACCAATTACAGATGGGGAGATCATACATGGAGATCAGTCCGCTCATATCGAGTTTCCAGCACCTACGCAACCCATACGACGTTGAACGTCGAGTCTTGTTCAGCCTTTTCCTGCCAGATGACTCTGAACTTTCAGGTTTTTTTGTTTAATGACACTGATTCCTCTACGTTGTACCGAAACTGACACTGAATGCGATTTCTACACGTTTCAAGTGTAGTTGCCCGGAAGAACAGGGAATCTCAGATTCCCGCGGTGTCAGCACTGCCTGGTGGTGACTACGAGACAAATTTGCCCCGTGTTTTTTCACTCGCGAGGGGTTTCCTCGCGTTCCTGCCTGGTGTAACAAGAGGCAGTCAGCCGTGTGGTTTTGTAAAAACAGCCTTTTTTCTTAGAAAGCACTGATGCTTCAGGGTTTTTTTTTGTGACACTGATTTTTCAGGATTTTTTTTTCTAAAAGACACTGTCAATCAGGGATTTCACGCAGAGGGACCCTGATCCCTCTACGTCCCTCGAAGTGAATCTGAGGGCCTGGTAGGAACTGCCTCAAAATCCACCTGGCTCACAAAAATCCTGGAGGCTCCCAAGGTTTGGCAAAGATCTGGGTTTCGCGCGTTTCTGGAATTTGCTTCTGGGCTCCATGAGTCTTCTCGAACCGATACAGTATGGTCCAAACCATTTTCGCGGCTCCAAACCGAACTACACAGCGAGGCTCGGCAGAAGCACGCGATTTGCTGTGGCGTCCTTGAGCGCCCACAGCCAAAATGGCGCAAGGGGAATGCCTGCTGGCTGCTGTGGTGCACCACCCCAGAACATTTTGCACATACTCCCATGTTTCCATATACCAAAGTAGGAACATTTGAGAACATAGGTGGTCATTGAAGTACTGGCTTTTGTGTCATCTTTATTTGACTGTAAGTGCCATGCTGATTATAATGGTACTGGTAGTCACACCATAACGATATTCACTTATACTCCTTGTCCAACACCACCGAGCAAACCCTTCTCTACATCCCTATTATCCCCACCACCACCCTTCTTCCCTCTTCCACTCTCCCCCTTCACATCCTTCCAAAAAATTAACCCGGGTAATCCAAGAACCCCCTTGTCAGTCTTATTTAGCGACGGTGCCTTGTATGTGAGCTGCAGCAGGAGAGAGTTGGCCATGACACCCAGAGAGCTCACTCCCATTAGGGCCCCACAGAGGGAGGGGGTGAGCATGGTGCCTGTGAAGGGCAGCAGCGCCCCTGCCGCCACTGGGACTCCAATCTGTAGGGGTGAAGGGGCACCGTAATGCCGGAGATGAATGGGTTGAAGGAGAGGGAAAAATGCGCTAGGCGGGCCGGAATGTGTGATTTAGGCCCGTGGTGGGATGTCATCTGTGGCCATTCGAGCTTATGTCGTGCTGCGATAGTAACTGCCAACAGACGGGCGGGCATTCTACTTCACCATGCTTTGCAGTAATACTCAGGCCAGGCCCCTGACTAGTTGTGAGACGTCTCAAAATCGGGTTTTGCAGTAATGTCCAGGCCAGGTTCTGATTAGTTGGTCGGGAAGAGGGAAGGTTGGGTGGGGGGAAGTGGTGTGGGTCAGAAGTTGGTGGGGGAATCCTCACCATGTTGTAGAGGAACGCCCAGGCGAGGTTCTGGCGGATCTTGTTGAAGGTGCAGCGGCTGAGGTGAATGGCGTCCACCACTTGAGTCACCCGGTCGCCCATCAGTACCACTGACGCCACGTCACTCGCCGCCCCCACCCCCCCAGCCATGGCTATGCCCACGTCGGCTCGAGCCAAGGCAGCTGCGTCGTTCACCCCATCTCCCACCATCGCCACCTGGGTTCCTTTTGCCTGAAGGGCCGAAACGAAGTCTGCCTTGCCCTCTGGTTTCACGCCCGCGTATACCTGGGAGTAGGGGATGGATGAGTGGAGGACGGGGAGAGGGGATGGGAAAGAGGAGAAGAGGATGGGGAAGAGAGCGAGAGGTGGAATACCACCCCAGTTAGAGGCAGCAGCACTCCCCAGCACCACACCTAGTTCTCAGGGGTACCCAGTTTATGAGCTATCACCAGGGCAGCAAGCCTCGATTTGTGAGGCACCTAAAAAAAAGTTTCCCGGGCCTTCCTGTTGCAACACTCGTATCGACGCAGCCCACCTCACAGCATCTCACCTCGTTCTCAAGAATGCCGACTTTGTATGCTATAGCAAGGGCCACCAGTCTCTTACCCCCCGACAGGATTGCAGTGTGAAGCCCCATGGCCTGTAGCGCCGCTACAGCCGCTAGTGGAGCTGCTACAGTCGCTACATGCAGGAGCGTCAGATGGTTCCCAGCTTCTCACCTCGTTCTCAGGAGTGCCGACTTTGTGTGCGATTGCAAGCGCCGCCGGACTCTTATCCCCCGGACGGACAGCATGGCCATGGCCAGCCCCATGTGGCCTGTAGCGACTTTTGAGTCGACTCAAAAGTTATCCCCCAGACAGCAAGGCCATGGGCAGCCCCATGGCCTGTAGCGCCGCCGCTACAGCCGCTCCTATAGCTGCTAAAGGCGCTTCATGCAGGGGTGCTAAATGGCTCACCTCGTTCTCAGGGATGCCGACTTTATGAGCGATCGCCAGGGCCGCAGGTCTCTTGTCCCCCGACAGCATCGCCGTGTGCAGCCCCATGGCCTGTAGCGCCGCTACAGCCGCCGCCGCCTCGTCGCGGACCTTGTCGACCAATGAGATGGCGCCTGCGAGCCTGCCGTCCACCCCCACATACACGGTGGTCTCGCCTGGCGTGGGGTCGCCTGGCATGGCAGGCCTGAGAGTCGGTGATGCGGGGGATGCCCCTGTATGTAGGGACGAGGGAAGGGAGCGGGGAGCTGGATGAGATGGCACTTGCCAGCCTGCCAGCCCGCCAGTTGAACAGTCCACCCCCACGTACGTACACAGTCGTCTCCCCTGGTGTGGGGTCACCTGGCATGGCAGGCATGAGAGTTGGAGCGGAGGGGGATGCACCTGAAGAGACGGAGCAAGTAAGGAGCAGGGACAGGACAGGGGATGGGACCAGGAGGAGGGAGGAGAGGGATGAGATGGCGCCTGCCGGTTGGCCATCCGCCCCCACCTTTACGGTCGTCTCGCCCGGGGTGGGGTCGCCTGGCACGGCAGGCCTGAGAGTCGGTGATGCGGGGGATGACCCAGAAGAGATGGAGCTGGGGGGAGGGAAAGGGGTTGGCCGGAGAGAGGGGAATGAGATGGCATGGCTGCACACCTTGTTCACAAGTTTGCCTTGAAAGCACACATGCAGTCAGATCTTATCCCACATGCCCGACAATCTCAGATCTCACCTTCCGCAGCGCTGCTCATCAGATCAGCCTCCTCAAGTTCCACCGGCACATCGCAGCCGTTATCTCTCAGCCAATCATATCAGGTGTGTGTGCCCACCACCACATGCAATAAGGCCTCATGTCTCACCCACACAACAACATCTCACCCACCTTCCGCAGCGCTGCTCATTAGATCAGCCCCTTCTTATCTCCACACGCAACAACACATCGCATATGTTCCCCCTCACCGCCAATCAGGTGTGCCCACCACCACATGCAAGGGGGCCTCAGGTCTCGTGTAAAGAGGTTGTTTTTGAGACGTCTCAGTTCTTATTTGTGAGACAAAATAACCTCTTTACACATGCAAGGGGGCCTCCGGTCTCTCACACCCAAAAACATTGCACGCACCTTCTGCAGCGCTGCTCATCAAATCAGCCTCCTCAAGTTCCACAGGCACATCACAGCCGTTATCTCGCAGCCAATCAGGAGTGCCCACCACCACATGCCGCCCGGCCACCACCGCCGCCGCCCCGGCCCCTGGCTGCTGGAAAAACGACCCGTCCTCCACCCGCGCCCGCCTCGCCTCCTTCCCAGCAGCTTCCACTATCGCCGTCGCGAGGGGATGCGTGGAATTCCGCTCAACCGCTGCTGCCAACACCAGCACCTCGTTCCTCCTCTCCTCTTCTTCTCCTTTCCCCCCTCCTCCTCCCTGTCTCCGAACCCCACGCTCATTCTCTTCAGCATCACAACCATCCCCATGCAGGCGCACGCGCGTGACTGTGGGGCGGCCGAGGGTGAGCGTGCCGGTCTTGTCAAAGAGCACGGTATGCACGGCAGTGGAGCGCTCCAACACGTCTCCCCCTCGGATCAACAGCCCTTTTCTTGCTGCTACGGCTGTGCCCACCAGCACTGCTGTTGGGGTGGCAAGACCCAGGGCGCACGGGCAGGCCACAACCTGGAAGGATACGGCGAAGGCGCAGGGGAAAGAGGGGGAGGAGTTGAGGGAAGCGGAGGGAGTGAGGGAGGGGGTGGGGGTGAGCGTGCCGGTCTTGTCAAAGAGCACGGTGTGCACGGCAGTGGAGCGCTCCAACACGTCTCCCCCTCGGATCAACAGCCCTTTTCTTGCTGCCACTGCTGTTCCAACCAACACCGCTGTGGGTGTGGCTAGGCCCAGGGCGCATGGGCAGGCAACAACCTGGCAGGGGAGAGGAAAGGGGCACGGGATGGGAAGGTTTTTTAGGCGCCTCAAAATCCGCGTGAACTGAGACGATTTTTGAGGCGCCTCAAAAACACCGCTGTGGGTGTGGCTAGGCCCAGGGTGCATAGGCAGGCAACAACCTGGTGGGGGAGAGGAAAGGGGCAGGGGATGGGAAGGAGAGGGGGGGAAGTGAAGGGAGAGAGGGCGGTCAAGGCCCACACTGACTCTCACCAGCACGGTCAAGGGGCAACAGAGGAGCTGCTCCTCTCACCAACTCTCCACAGCAGCCTCACTCCACTCACCAGCACGATTTTTGAGGCGCCTCAAAAATAGTCTCAAAAATCGTTTTGAGGCGCCCCAAGAAGGGGCAACAGAGGAGCTGCTCCTCTCACCAACTCTCCACAGCAGCCTCACTCCACTAACCAGCACGATTTTTGAGGCGCCTCAAAAATCGTCTCAAAAATCGTTTTGAGGCGCCTCAAAAAGGGGCAACAGAGGAGCTGCTCCTCTCACCAACTCTCCACAGCAGCCTCACTCCACTCACCAGCACGTTGCATGCAAGCGGCAGCGCTAGCAGCATGCTCTGCTCTCCCCAAGGCCAGCTGCAGCGGTGATGGCAGCAGGGCAGGGACGAGCCTGGGGCCTTTGATTCACTCTCACAGATCACCAGAACCCCACACGAGCCTCACTCCACTCACCAGCACGTTGCATGCAAGCGGCAGCGCTAGCAGCATGCTCTCCCCAAGGCCAGCCGCAGCGGCGATGGCAGCAGGGACGAGCCTGGGGCCTTTGATTCACTCTCACAGATCACCAGAACCCTCACTTCACTCACCAGCACGTTGCATGCAAGCGGCAGCGCCAGCAGCAGACTGCCTCCAGGGCCGGCAGCAGCGAGGGCAGCTGGGACGAGCTTGGGGCCTTAGAGATTACCTCTCAACCAATCCATAGGCTAATTACAAGTGCTCACTCCTCCTCCACTCACCAGCACATTACAGGCGAGCTGCAGCGCCAGCAGCAGACTGCCTCCAGGGCCGGCAGCAGCAAGGGCAGCCGGGACGAGCTTGGGGCCAAGGGTGGACCAGAAGGCGAAGGTGGCCGCTGCTACGCCCATCACCCCGTAGCAGAACTTGCCAGATACCTGGTGGGAAGCGGGGTGGTGGGAGGGATCCTTGAGTGAGGGCAGAGTGTTGACAATACAGGCAAGAGCAGGCAGGGCAGGGCAGGGCAGGGCAGCCGGGACGAGCTTGGGGCCGAGGGTGGAGCAGAAGGCAAAGATGGCCGCTGCTATGCCCATCACCCCGTAGCAGAGCTTGCTGGATACCTGGTAAAGGGGATAGTGGGGAGGGGAGGTGTAGGTGGGGAAAGGGGGAAGGGTTCGAGGAGCAGGGCATAGCAGCATAGGTTCAGAGGGGGGCTGTAGGTGTGTAGGTGGGGAGGGGGGACGTTGGGTTCAGGGGCCAGCATCTTGAGTCGTGAGAATCCAGCACTCGGCGAATCCCACCTGCTCCGCCTCCCCTCACCTGATCAGCGAATCGTTGCACGGGAGCCTGGCGGCCCTGAGCCTCCTCCACCATGCGCACTATGTCTGCCAGCACCGCATCCCCGCCCTGCCTGCTCGCCTGCACCACCATTGCCCCGTTGAAATTCACCGTGCCCGCTGTCACCTCGTCCTGGTGGGGGGGTTTCGGAGTGGGGGAAGAAGGGAGGGTATATGACTTGTGGAAGACAGTGAGACTGACCCCACGGTGAGACTGACCCCACGGTGAGACTGACCCCACGGTGAGTCTGACCCCACGGTGAGTCTGACCCCACGGTGAGTCTGACCCCACGGTGAGTCTGACCCCACGGTGAGTCTGACCCCACGGTGAGACTGACCCCACGGTGAGACTGACCCCACGGTGAGACTGACCCCACGGTGAGACTGACCCCACGGTGAGACTGACCCCACGGTGAGTCTGACCCCACGGTGAGTCTGACCCCACGGTGAGTCTGACCCCACGGTGAGTCTGACCCCACGGTGAGACTGACCCCACGGTGAGACTGACCCCACGGTGAGACTGACCCCACGGTGAGACTGACCCCACGGTGAGACTGACCCCACGGTGAGTCTGACCCCACGGTGAGACTGACCCCACGGTGAGTCTGACCCCACGGTGAGTCTGACCCCACGGTGAGTCTGACCCCACGGTGAGTCTGACCCCACGGTGAGTCTGACCCCAGTCACATGTGCCATTAATACGACTCATGCCCTCATACCACCACCCACTCACCCCAGCCTGCTTCAGCACCGGCAGCGGCTCCCCCGTGATGCTGCTCTCGTCCACTGTGCTGCGCCCTCCCGCCACTGTGCCGTCCACCGGGATGCGATCCTGATGCATGCAGGTGGGGGGTAGAGGCAATAGGAAGGAACGGTGGGTACAAACAAAGGGGGGTGAGGGGAGAAGGGAGCAGCGGATTCTCTGTCATGCTGCTCTCTCATCCACTGGGCCATCCACAGGAATGCGCCCGCCCGCCCGCCACTGTGCCGTCTGCCAGCCACCAAGCCTGCGAACCAAAGGTCATCCACTGTGCTGCGCCCGCCCGCCCGCCACTGTGCCGTCCACTGGAATGCGATCCTGATTTGCACGTGAATTGGGGGTCATACGCACGAATCAAGTGCACTGCACTCTGCACATAGAATCGAGCCGAACAACATGGCGAGAGAGAGGCATTCGCACCCCGGGCCGGACAAGCACTCGGTCGGTCGCCCACTTGAATCGCCTCTAACGGCAGGCACCACCTCTGTCGCTGCCTCGCTGAAACTGCTAGCAGGGATTCAGCAAGCATGAAAGCAAGCATGAGGGAACAACAAGGGCGAGAGGTACTTACCCTGGGGCACACAAGAGCTTTATCCCCCACTTGGATCGCCTCTATTGGCGCCACCTCCGTTGCTGCATCGCTGAAACTGCTGCCCCCGCGGATTCAAGAGTGCACACATGACAGAGTAACAAGGCAAGGAGAGAGTCAAACATACCCCTGGTCGCACTAGCACTCGGTTGCCCACTTGGATCGCCTCTATGGGCACCACCTCCGTTGCTGTGTCGCTGAGACTGCCAGCGCAAAATCAAATGTGCACACTGCACACATAAAAGAGCAGCAAGGAGAGAGGCATACGCACCCCGGGGCGAACAAGCACTCGGTCGCCCACTTGGATCGCCTCTATGGGCACCACCTCCGTTGCTGTGTCGCTAAAACTGCTGCTTGCCGCGGCTTCTGCAGCTGCTGATTCTGCTGCTGATGATGCGGCTGCCGGGCGTGATGCAGCAGCAGGAGAGGAAGGTGGGGAGGGTGAGGGCGAGGAAGGGACGATGCGACGGGCTTGAGGGGGCAGCAGGGATAGCAGAGCCGCCATGTCACTGGTGGCCTGGAGGAACAGGTAGTATGGGGGAGGGTAGCGAGGGGAGAGAGCGGGGAGAAGGAAGTGAGGGTGGGGAGGGGATGATGCGACGGGCCTGAGGGGGCAGCAGGGATAGGAGCGCTGCCATGTCGCTGGTGGCCTGGAGGAGAGAGTGGTGGGGGTGAGGAGAGTGCGGGGAGAAGAGGGAGAGGAGAGAGTTTACCTAAGAGATCACAGGAGGTAGCAGGGATAGGAGCGCTGGTATATGACTGGTGGCCAGAGGAGGACAAGGATGTGGGAGGAATTGAAGGGAGAGGAGGGGCACAAGGGTTGAAAGCGAAACAAGTGAAACGAGAGAGGAAGCAAAGAGGATGAGGAGCGGAAGCGGGAGGGAGGCAAAAAAAAAAAAAAAAAAAAAACGGCACCTAATGAAAATAAAAACTCCATATGTAAGAGCGCGATTTTCCCTGCCTCACCATAATCTTAGCCCGCTCTTCCAGTGCCTTCCCCAGCAGCACGAACGCCAGCAGCACAGCTCCTCTTCACCCGACCGTACCTTGGTTGGTCATACAGTCCCCTCCCATCCTCATTCTCTTCCCCCCTGCCTACCTTGATCTCAGCCCGCTCTTCCAGTGCCTTCCCTAGCAGCATAGCTCCTCCGCACACTGACCTAACTTGATTCGACAATCCCCCCCTCCCCCTTGTTCCGCCCTCATTCTTCCTTCCCACCCCTCCCTGTCTACCTTGATCTTAGCCCGCTCCTCCAGCGCCTTCCCTAGCAGCACGAACGCCAGCAGCATGAGCGGCTCCTCGAAGAACGCAGGCCAGCCCTGAGGGCGAGGGGGAAGGGGAGAGGAGGGGAGAGGATGACTTTTGAGTCGACTTAAAAGTCACGTCGCCAGCAGCATGACAGGCTCCTCGAAGAACGCTGGGAGCCCTGGGGGGAGAGGAAAAGGGAGTGGGGGGAAGGGGGAGGAAGAATGACGTCAAAAGGCAGTGGGGGGATGTAAGGCTCCCGGGCCAGCCATGAGGGGAGTGAACGGGGGAGGCGGGTAGGGACGAAAGAGGGAGCAGGAGGGGAGAAAACAGGAAATGAAGTAGAAGGGCCGAGGGAGATGACTGACAGCAAAGGAAGAGACAGCCCCCAGGCTGACAAGCAAGCAGAGTAACATGAGAGGTCTCTAAATATGCTAGTTGATTGAACTCACCAGCTTTGGCACGGCGGCGGCAACAGCGCTGACAGCAAAGGAAGGGACAGCCTCCAGGCTGACGAGAGTGTTCATGTTGGGCGCTCCCCTCCTTTTGAGTTGACTCAAATGTCAGCTTATACATGCTTATTGAACTCACCAGCTTTGGCACGGCAGCAGCCACAGCGCTGACAGCAAAGGAGGAGACGGCACCAAGGCTGACGAGCGTGTTCATGTTGGGCGCTCCCCGCCTCAGGCTGGTCCATCCGTCCTGCAGCAACCTGAGATAGCATACGGGGCAGGGTAGAGGAGGAGAAAAAGGGGGGGAGGGGAGGGGGTGACCAGGTAGGGTGTGCCAGGAATTGAGGGGAAGCGCGTGTGAGAAGTCAAGGCTGACGAGCGTGTTCATGATGGGCGCCCCTCACCTCAGGCTGGTCCACCCGTTCTGTAGCAGCCTGAGATAACATACGGGACAGGGTAGGGGGAGGGCACGTGAGGAGGAGTAGAGAAAGGATGGGAGGAGAAAGGATGGGAGGAAGAAGAGGGAGACGGGGAGAAAGAGGAGGACAAGGCAGGGGGGATGAGGGCAGGGGAGACAGAAATGCATCCAGCCCCACACGCACTTGTGGCCAGGCCTGAGCAAGGCAGTGAGGGAGAGCAGAGCGTGCACGGGTGTGGAGGGCTGGGCGTGCGTCGAGGCAGGCAGCTTCCAGGCGAGGGCAGGGAGGGTGAAAGGAGCAAAGTGGAAAGATGAGAATTCAGGGCTCCCAGACAGATGCACTCACTTGCGACCGGGGCCAAGAAGGGCAGTGAGGGAGAGCAGAGCGTGCACGGGCGTGGAGTGCAGGGCGTGGGTCCAGGCAGGCAGCTTCCAGGCGAGGGAGGAGGCCTGCAGCATGTGCGAGGCGTGCCCCACCAGACACGCTGCTGCCAGCGCCCATGCCACCAGGAGACGCCGGCCTGGGGAGGGCAGAGTGGAGGGACAAATGAGAGCGAAGACAATGAGGGATGTGATGTGAGGCCACTTGGTTCCAGGCGAGGCGAGGGAGGACGCCTGCAGCATGTGCGACGCATGCCCCACCAGGCAAGCTTCTGCCAGCGCCCATGCCACCAGGAGCCTATGGCCTGGAAGGGAGGGAAGGAGTGGGGGAAAAGGGGACAGGAAGAGGTTCTCGAACGCATGTCAATAAGAGCCAAAACCCCCCCCGGAGATTGAGAGGTAGACAGACAGCACGAAGGAAGAGGAGAGGAGGAGGGAGAAAAACCTGCTCGAATCAGGTAGTCAGCACCTGAGAGGATTTGAGGTTTAGATGCACTTACGAATGAATATCTTGTTAGCAAGGAACACTCACCACTGTCTTTCAGCCTTTTCATGCGCTCCTCCCTCTTGGACTCAATCGCTGAAGCTGCCCGGCCCGAGACACCGGCAGCAGCACCAGTAGCACTAGCACTGGTAGCAGCAGCAGCAGCAGCAGCAGACGGCCCTCCCTCCTCCCCCTCCTCCATTCCTCCCACGGGCACCGCCACATGCCCTTCCTCCGCTGCTGCGCCTCTTGAGCCCTTGGCTGACTCCTCTGAGGGATTGGGATGGGAGAGAGAGAGAGGTGCAAGTGAGTGTTAGGTTCACACACTACCAGACGGACGGCCCATACACATGTGGGGTCCCATCAGGTTTGAGAAGACAGGGAGAGTACGGATGGGGCTTAGGTCCAGCCCAACCGAGGCACTTTGGGATGCACTGACGTGCCTTGTGTGATAAGTCGAGTTTTTGAGTTGACTCAAAACCGGGAGAGTACGGATGGGGCTTAGGTCCAGCCCAACCCAGGCACTTTGGGATGCACTGACGTGCCTTCAATGCACTGACTGGGTGCTTTGGCTAAAACATGACTTTTTTTTAGTTGGTTCAAAAGTCAACTGAAGACAGGGAGAGTACGGACGTGGCTTAACTTAGGTCAAGCCCGGGCACTGACGTGCCTTCACAGCATTGACTCGGTGGTTTTGGCTGAAATAGTGACTTTTGAGTCGACTCAAAAGTCAGCCCGGGCACTTGGGGAAGCACTGATGTGCCTTTCACAGCATTGACTCGGTGGTTTCTGAGGCGCCTCAGAAGTCACAGCAGGTTTGAGAACACAGGGAGCGGTACGGATGGGGCTCAAATCAAACATAGGGAGAGGTCACAGAAAGTCCAGCCCGGGCACTTTGGGATGCACTGACGTGCCTTCAAAGCAATGACTGGGTGCTTTGGCTGAAACATTCAAGGCTGCAAACCCCTGCCACTCTCTCAATGCCCCCAGCCCCACCACTTCCCCCCTCCTCCCTCTGCCCCTCCTGCCCTCCGCCTACACCACTACCCAACACAGCACGCACCTCTGAGCTTTGACTCGAACCCACACTCTGTCAAATACTCCGCCAACGCTCGCTCAACCTCCACCCGTCACTGCTCCTGCCACTCCCTCAACGCCCCCATTCCCCTTTTTCCTACCCCTGCCCCTACACCACTACCCAACACAGCACACACCTCTGAGCTTTGACTCGAACCCACACTCTGTCAAATACTCCGCCAGCGCCCGCCCAACCTCCACCCGCCTCTGCTCCTGCCACCACTCCCTCAACGCCCCACCGTCCCCACCATCAACCCCCCTCTGCTTATATAGAACTACCCAACACAACACGCACCTCTGAGCTTGGACTCGAACCCACACTCTGTCAGATACTCTGCTAGTGCTCGCCCAACCTCCACCCGCCTCTGCTCCTGCCACTCCCGAGACACCCCCATCCCTGCCGCGCCCCCCTCTGCCGCCCCTGCCCCTCCATCCGCCCACCCGTGGCCCCCAGCAGTATCCTCAGCAGCAGGGGCGGCTGGAACGGCTGTGGTTGCGGTGGTGGCTGTAGCGGGGGCTGCGGCTGTAGCAGCAGCGGACGGCGGCTCGCCCCCGGCCAATCGGATGGTCACAAGTGCCGTCTCCATGGGAAGGTTCACGGAAGCAGACACTACAGGAGGCTGGAGGGGGGTTGTCGGGGGTGGTTGGAGAGGATGGGAGGGGAAGGGGAAGGGAGGAGAAATAGGGAGGGGGGAGGGAAGGGGAGGGGAATGGCCAGTCGTTCTTTGAGAATTCTGAGAAATAACCACAGGAGGCTGGTTTGGGAGGGAAGCGGGGAAAAAAAGGGGGGAGGGGATTTTTGGGGGGGCATGGAGTGGGAGAGGGAACGACGAGCAAGTAGGGGGGCATGGAAAGTAGAGGCAGAGGGACGGGGGATCGGGAGAATGGGGGGAAATGGGGTGGGGGACAGGGAATGTAGAGGTAAAAGGGCGAAAAGGAGAGTGCATGGAATGGAATGGAGACAAGCGAGAGAGTGATGCATGCTAAGGGCAGCAAGATCAATGAAGAGATTAGAGCGAGTCCTTCTGCACTTGAGCTGCACGCATACTCTGAGATCCTAATCTCTTTTGCAATTGAGAATCTGCCTCACCTGTGACTCGAGAATCTGCCTCACCTGTGACTCGAGAATGTTCTTCACGGAAGCAGCACAGCTGCCACACGACATGCCCTGGGGAGGGTGGAGGGCAGCGGATGGGATGGGAGGGGAAGAGCATAGCTTGGTGCAAGACGAGAGGAGAATTCGGAGGTGGGAACCTGCAAAGAGAGACAACTGATGGTGAGGCTTGAGGACCGGAACATGCCCCCTCACTTCACCTGCCATAGCCACATGAAAGAAGACTGTTCTTGAGACGTCCCAAAAACACTCTTCTCTCACGTAGCAGAGGGAGACAACTGATGGTGAGGTTTGAGGCTTAGAACATGCCCCTTCACTTAACCTGCCTGCAGCAGACTCGCCTCGACCCGCTACAGACAGACCCGTTACCGTCTCTTCTTTATCACCCCCCTTTATGCCTACGCCCCCCTCTCACCCCCACATCCAGCACAACAGTATCCTGAGTGCTCCCCTCCTAAACTTGACTTTGCTGAACTTGACTTTGCTGAATTCTCAAAAGTTTTTTCAGCAGCTACGCCCCCCACTCACCCCCACATCCAGCACAACAGTATCCTGAGTGCTCCCTTCCTAAACTTGACTTTGCTAAACTTGACGTTGCTGAATTCTCAAAAGTGTTTTCACCAGCTACGCCCCCCACTCACCCCCACATCCAGCGCAACAGTGTCCTGAGCTCCCCCTCGGAAACTCAACTATGGTGGAATCACTCTAGAGAATTGTCAAATGTGGTTTCAGGTATGCCCCCCACTCACCCCCACATCCAGCACAACAGTTTCCTGAGCTCCCCCTCCCAAACTCGACTTTTGAGGCGCCGCAAAAGTCAACCTACATGCCCATGCTCCCCACTCACCCCCACATCCAGCACAACAGTGTCCTGAGCTCCCCCTCCTAAACTCGAATCCGCCGCCACGTGCCCACTCGCCGCTTTTGTCCGCATCTGCCTCTCCCCGCCCCAACTCTCCATCCCCCCCCATCCGTCACCCGCGTTTCCCCCGCGCCCCCATGGTCCGCCTCCGCCTCCCCTCCCCCCGAATCCCCCCACCCCCCATCCCCCGCCTCCGCCGCCGCCGCTTCCGTCGTGAACCAGCGCTTGGGAAATGCTCCCGAAGGGCGGCCGGCCGGCACGGCATTGACACGTGGCAGCGAAGCAACGCGCTGCGGCGGCTCGTGCGGCGCACGCGCACGCCGCTGCGCTGGATGCGGTCAACTTAAGAGAAGAGCCGGCGAAGGTTGCAAGTTGGTGACCGAGCGAGAAGGGCGGATTGAGGGGAGACGAAGCGGCTGCATTGATCGCAGCGGGGATAAGGCCTCTCGGATGCGAGAGCCAAGAAACCGCGCTATTCGTGGACGCGGAGTTTTTCGGCGGAAGAAAGCTTGATTGTGAGTGTTTAAGGTAGACTGAACGCGATGGCGTCAATCTCCTGGAAATGGTGTGGGCACGTGTGAAGGATGACGTGGCAGTAACGGGGTTGCGATGGCGGTTCCACCTTCCATTGATTGAACCGCGAGCTGCGGATCGTGGTGATTGGCTGATGGAACGAAACGGAGTTACCGCTGAGTAACACCGATACGCCTGAGGGAGCACTTGCGGAAACACCTGGCCATGCATAGCTGCGTTGCCTGCGTTTCCTGGACTCCTCGCAGTTTCTGAGAAGGTCTTTACAGCAGCAGATGGTGAATTCGATGTAACGGAACCCGATACTAAATGCAGGCGCGCATGAGCAGCGTGACGGGAAACAGACGAGTTCATCCCGCGCTTGACGGACCAGCGCTCTGAAGGATCCGCGATATATTGCGGCTACCTCACTCCTCTGGACTCGATTGCAAAAAAGATCTCGCCACTAGTATAGACCTCAGAACAAGGAGGAACCTCCGAATCCCCCTATCGGAGCCTGGTCACACAATCGTCCTAGGAGAAAATGGAGGAAATGATGGCCGATGCAGTTGTGAAGGACAAAAAGAGGATCCCAAGGTCAGAACCAGAACGTACTGCTGGACCCAGCATAGATTTCCACCAGTTTGGGATTGTGCGAGAGGTGGGAATTGCGGGACATAGAGATTTCAGGAAAGATTCAAATTCATTCTGAGAAGGTACAGAGTGGTGGGTAACAAGTGATCTCGAGGAGGTGGCTGACCAAAACGTACACAGGCGATTGATGTCGTGAAATGAAACTGCTGAGACGTACGAGGAACTTCAAGTTGGAGAGCTTGACAGCTACTTGTGGTACGACATTCAGCGTACGGTTTTCCAAATCCCCGATGTCCAATCAAAGTGGTGTACACGCGTCAATGGATGAGGCAATGTGGCCTTACGCTCACGTGGCATGCGGTCCGATGCTTCGCGAAATGGCCACATCAAGGGATGAGTGGAAACTGCGCGTTCGCGATAAAAGCGGTGCTTGATTCACTTTATTCCCAGGGAAAATACGGATAGTCCTGATTTTCTGTCTCCAAGAGGGACAAAGATCGGCGTACATAATTGTGCACTGCAAAGCTGCTTGGACCAGTAATCCTAATTCTGCAGAAGGTTGCAGATCCAATAGCAGAAAACCTCTTTGTTTAGTTGGCGTGAAACTTGTGAGAAGAAACATCCAAACAAACTCCCCTGCTTTTCAACCTAAACACACAAAAACATTGAACCATATATCCATTTAGGTTAGGCCTCCTCGTCCTCCACCACCTTGGGGCCAAGACCCTTGAAGCCCTCAGCAGGGAGATCAGCCACGGTGACAATGGAGTAGAACTCCTCAGTGGCGTCCTCATCCTCGTTGCGCCTCCGAGCAATGCGCACGCGCACACGGCGGGGAACATTGCGCACACCGCGTGACCATACTTGCTTGTTGAGCTTCACATCCACACGCACATCCTTGGTGTTCATGGCCTTCGCAGCAAACTTCCGGATCTCCTTGATGGCCTTGGGAGCCTTTTTCTTGAATGTGCTGAGGGAGAAGGGATATAGGATAAGAGGGTAAGATTTTTTTGACTAAAAAGCTTGGTAGAATGATTAATATGCATTCTCTTCGTCACACACAAAGAGAACAAAATGATGAAAAACGCTGCGCAGGCAGCCAGCCATGTCCATTTATCATACAGGACGGGAGCGAAACAAATATGAGCAGAACGGCAAAAACGAGCACACGGGCATAGGGACGGACTCCAAACCACGCTACAACGCTAAAACTGCGCGCAGTCAATGATGAAACGCAATCTCTAAAACCTCGATGTAAACAACAATGACGGCTGCAGGATAGAGCTAGAACGGAAGTACTATGTCCAGCAACTATGACGGCAAGCTGGACGAGGTCACATCCGCACGCAAAAGGTGCACCTCCCTCTCTCAGACTATCTTCCTGATAACGATGATTCAATCCTGCATAAAGGATAATTCGCCAAGCCACGGAAGTCGGCGACTTCGTGATCGCACCAGAGATCGCTGTTTCACCATGCTCCTGTGCGGTTAGGCTTGCTTCATCTACGTCGTTTTGGCGTTCATCTGTGCGCCTCTTAAGCAAAGGATACGGAACCTAGGGCGCACAAATGGTCCTCGAAGGTTTTAGAGTAGCGATCTAAAAACGGAACCCCAACCATGTAGACTGCAGCGCAAGAATCTGAACTATCTCAACGATGTCTAACGCGCAGCAGCAAAACGGAACCCTAACCATTCTAGCCGACCCTCCTGCCGTCTCGCGCAAGAGAACGTGCACTGCTACGACCGCAACTGCACCAGAGTATAATAGGATAAGAGAAACGAAATGGCGTCCAGAAGCAGCAGATGAGCTGATTGACTGAGCGAAGTGCAAGCAGATAGACAAAATCGCACCAGCCATGGCAGCGCTTGTGGAGGTTGATGGTGTACTCGCGAGTGACGATCTCGTCCTTGCGCACCTTCTTCTCAACCATCTTTGCGTATCTGATGGGTCGACAAGGGAAACCTAATTGGCGAGCCTAAGGAGGTTCGCTGAGCTACTGCGGCTGCTGCAGAGCTGTTAGGGCAGAAAGGGGATATCACGTGAAACAGAGGGAATTTGTGAGTGGGTAGGGGACAGGGGAGAGCGAGAGGGGCAAGCGAGAAAGGCTTCGGAGGGAAGGGGGTTTGATGCATCTATCCAACGGTTGGGATCGTCTGGGGCCTTCCATTCGTACCAATTGTGCGCTGTAACTTTTTGCCTACGACTTAGACTTCTTCCGATATTGTATGCATACCGGACTGACCTGTACTGGATCAATGTTCTGACTCTCCGGAACTGTTGTCCACCTCTGATTCTTATGAGTTGATTTGGACGCCCCCGATATCGACACAGCTTGTATCGAACTCATTCGAGACGAATCATCCAGCGAAATGACGTTCCTAGCACTGCCACATCAGCAGTGCAGGTGACACGGCCTGTGTGGAGCGACCACGCGGACGTCCGTGAGCCAACCGCGTCTTTCCTCCCTCACCACAGACATCACGATCTCGTCACCCACTTGACTGACCGTCAGCCAAACAATTCGTGAACCGTCAAATTCTGCTCCATCCCTTGTTCTCGAATCCATAACCTTAAGAATACCTGCCTCATTCTTTGATCTTCCTAACTATCCAACTAGCTCGAGTATCGAGTTTCGCTTGCCTTTTCGAGACATCAGCAGGCTTTCGAGGTGTTCACGCCAGCACGTACATAGCCCTTCGAAAGGCGTAGTGAAAATTACGTGCAAAATGGCTGCCTTGGCTACGTGCACCTCGTGCTCGCTCTCGAGCCTCTCCGTCGCTGCTGGAACTGCCAGCCTCAGAAGACTTCAACGACCAGCAGCCGTTCCTGTGTTGCCAGCTCGGCGATCAGTGACCGTGCGAGCAGCAAAGCTTCCCGCTGGCGTGAGTGCGCATTCTACTGCTGCTCAATACAAGTTCCGTTGTGTAGGCAGAGCGAACAATACCAGTAGGTTAGTTGCGTCTCTCCACTGGAGTGACTCGTGCGAATTCTCAAATTTCTCTCCATCGTAGCCGGGACCTGACGACTCGTGTGCGCTGTTGAATCAACCTGGTAAACCGGCCATTGGCCAAAACTCGCAGCGACAGTCGTCACACGTTAGCTCGATTGTGTTGTTGAAAAGAACGTCGAAGGAAAATACCTCATCACAGTCAGTCGGTCCATGGCATTTCAGTTCACCCTTTGACAATCCTTTATTCATCGTCTTCCTCCCCTATTCATTTGACTCAATGACTTATCCTGAATGTCGCTACACAAGTTAAGAGATCGTGAGATTTACCGTTTTATCACACCTCATCCCCGTTATTGCAGGTCCCGTCACCTAAAGTGGAGCCCAACATTCCAAAGCCGTTCTGGGGTTTCACCGAGAACGCGGAGTCGTGGAACTCGCGAGCCGCCATGATTGGGCTGTTCGGGGTCATTATCTTGGAAGCGGTGAGTCGCACGTTCTATCGTATGCTGCATGACATTCCTGTCAAAACTCAAGCCTGACATCATGAGGTGCTCTCTAATCACCCATGAGAAGGCGGCTCACAGAGCTGGCTTGAGGGGTTTCAGTAAGCTCGGACGCGCTGGTTTGTCAGATTTTCTCATGTCGTTGATTTGTCGGAAAGATGGCTGTCAGGCACTGGCTTAGGAGAGCGCTGTTAAAACACCAGACGGAGATGATCATATGTCGGAGTCATGAGACTGCAAGCATTGGGGATAATAACATGAAGTCTCAAGAGCTCCGAAATGCGTCCTGCTTAGTTGTGGCTTGCCCTTCATTATTCTGGGCAACGTGCTTTTCTGTCTGTACATCTGCATTTCCTAACTGCTTTTTCGTCCTGCCTGTTGCTGCTGCAGGTTGCTGGCAGAGGAATTCTTGAGTTGATTGGCGTGGAAATTGGCAATGGGTTGGACCTTCCTTTTTAGAGAAACTTGTAGCAAAAAATACCCTCTCGTTCTACTCCTACAAGTTCTTGTTATAACTAGCATCACCGATTGTGCATAGAACAGTAAAAGCGTTGAAGTTGCCACACTTGCACAATTACAACCCTGCTTCACATCAGCTTGAAGGAATTGTGAAGGAATTCTGCCAACGCCATTGCGAAAATCAATGTACCGTATCAAATTATCTCGCCAAATGTGTAAAATTTGTGTCCTATTCCTTGTGTGTCCCACCCCGTTTCTTCCCTCTCATTCTTCCATCACTAGCTACGCCTTATTTGGCAGTGACAGCAGATCACATGCAAACAAAATATAATATAACAAACTGGTCAAAGATGGAAGGATACGTCTGACTCTCTTGTTTGGTGCAAGTACAGTATTTGTACCATTTGCAAGCAGCAGAGTACAGGGGCTCAAATCCAAACATTTCCCAACAGCAGCACCACACAACAGAAGCTCTGCATTCGATTGAATCACAGGCTGGAATGAAAGCCTGCAACTGCAATGCAGCGCATCTAGCCAAAGAGGCTGAAGCCTGCGAAAGCCGAGCAGAGCAGTGCATCTAGTCGAAGAGGCTGAAGCCCATGTCGTCATCCGACTCCTCCTTCTCCTCCTCTGCCGGCTTGGCCTCCTCCTTGGCTGACTCCGCTGCTGCTGCCGGCGCCGCCGCCACCGCTGCCACCATGAACTTGGAAGGATCCTGGAAAGCGGGACATAGGGGATGTATGGAATGTGAGAAGCAGGGAAGGGAAGAGGGGGGGAGTGATCGTTGAGAGAGCGGGATTGAATGGCCTTGGTTAGGGTTACATATACATATCAGGCAGAACATCAGGACAAGAGTGGTACCATCGGAGGGAGGGAGGGAGGGAGGGTAGACGCCGATGGACTCACCGAGAGGATGAGGATCTCCTTGATGAGTAATCAAGGTTCATCATCGAGAGCAAAGGTGTGGATGGCATGGCGTTTGCATGTACACACGGCGGCACATACCGCATGCGAGGGAAGGGAAATGCACTCACCGCAAGGATCTCCTTGACCTTGTCGGCCAGGGGGAACAAGTAGTCATCCAGGAGAGTGTGTGGAAGGGGGGGCATCAGAGCGACAAAGGAAGGGAAGAGGACTCACCGCGAGGATCTCCTTGACCTTGTCGGCCAGGGGGGACGAGTAGTCATCGAGGGCGAGCGCGATAGCAATGACGTTCTTGTACGAGTTGGCAAACACGTGCGGCACGGCGGAGAAAGTGGGGTAGTCGGCGCCCAGGGAGATGGCACGAGTGTGGGGACGAGCAGGGGGCACACGGCGGGTGTGCAAGGCAGCACTTACTCAGTGAGGGAAACAAGGAAGAGCACTCACCGCGAGGATCTCCTTGACCTTGTCCGCGAGCGGGAAGGAGTAGTCATCCAGAGCAAGCGCAACAGCAATGACGTTCTTGTACGAGTTGGCAAACACGTGCGGCACGGCGGCGAGCGTGGGGTAGTCGGCACCGAGGGAGATGGCAGCCACGTTGGCCACACCCGAGGCGAAGTGGCCCAGCAGGTCGTCCTCTGACATGTCCAGGACGGACGGGTGGAAGGTGGAACCATCGTCAAACACCTGGCGACAGGAAGAGAGCGGAGAAAGGAGAAATGGGTTCAGGTTCAGGGTGCAGAGTTCATAGAGGGTAGGGTGGAGGCGAAGTAGCCGAGACGGTCGTCCCCTGACATGTCCAGGACCGACGGGTGGACGGTGTAACTGTCGTCAAACACCTGGAGGGGAAGAGAGGAAGAATGACAGGTTCAGATTCAGGGTTTATGAAGGGATAAATGGGAGGACAAGTGGCCCAGGTGTCTAAGGACCGACGGGTGGACGGTGGAACCGTCTTCAAACACCTGGCGAGTTAACGGGGATAAGAGGTGGTGAGAAGGATGACATGACACGATACAAAGTCGTGCGAGTGATAGCTGGAGGGATAGGGGCAAGGATGGGGCATTGCTACTAAGAAGTTGGTCCGCAAACAAGAACGTATGACGGCCAAGAGACTAGTCACGCCCATGGGCTCACCTGGTCGACGACGAGCCCGTACGAGAAGTCACGTGTGTAAAGGGTATTTTTGAGACGTCTCAAAAAGGGCGGCCAAGAGACCAGAAACGCCCATGCGCCGACCTGGTCGACGACCAGCCGGTACGAGAACGGGCGGATGCCCAGCTTCGCCAGCAGCGCGGTCGTTGGTGTGGCAGAGGAAGCACGCACGAACCCGTACCAGTAACCCATCACCCTGTAAGATCAAGGGTGACTTTTGAGTCGACTCAAAAGTCACGTCGTCTCTCACGTCGACTCACAAGTCACGTCGACTCTCACGTCGACTCACAAGTCACGTCGACTCATGAGTCGACTCAAAAGTTCTCTCGTGTGGCAGAGGAAGCATGCACGAGCTCGTACCAGTAACCCATCACCGCGTTACAATCACTAACCTGGTCCACAACCAGCCCGTACGAGAACGGGCGGATGCCGAGCTTCGCCAGCAGCGCAGCCTCGGACGAGCCGACCTTCTCGCCCGCCCTAATCAGCT